ACAAAGCACATTCAAGCAAAAAAAAGAGACATTTCAAACATCAGATAAAGTTGTCTATGGAGCAACTGGGTACAGCCCAATGTGCGCCGGTCGAGCCTTTAAGCTTACACTTTATTAAATCTCACTTTTAGAACTATTTTACAACAGACGGACATGTTTAATATCCTGTAAGGGCCAAGATTTTATAAATGTTTCTTTTATCACAAAATCGCTATTACTTAAAATCGAATATTACGACTATCGATTCGACAACAATCAAAAGCTTGTGCCAGTGTCATAGATTAACTCAGCTGTCAAATAGAACGTAATAGAACAAGTACAAAAGAGATTGGTCGTTAGTCAAAAAGTACATTATTTATTTATCACGTTACATTTGGTCTAGTTAAGCTACCGACGCCTGCGACGAGGTTTGGCTGGGGCTACAGACACGCTGGCGGAGGCTATCTCCTCTTGCGTTGCGCACTCCGACTTCTCGAGCTGGCCGCGAGCCTCCACGAAGAACATCACATCGCGGAGCTGTTCTTTGAGATCTGACACCTAGGACACATAAAAATTACTTTTTTAATGATTTTAAAATAAATGTAAAGGTTATAGTAGTAACTAAACAGAAATCAGTTTACGAGTACAACCATTTTCTTCTTAACATTAATATACGTGGTTTATAGTCCTTTTGAGCCGGATATTGTTAATAATTTGCGTACTTCCTGCATGAATGCTTGCTCTTTGAGTCGCGCCTGCTCCTGCCACTGCGCCTGGCTGCCGGCAAGCGCTGTCGCCAGCCCGCGCTCCTCGCTCAACTCATTTTGCAACGTTGATAGTCTGCAAACATAAGAAATCGTTAATTGCAGTCGTTTATTTTGGTTTGTTATTCGCCGAAATGGCGAATCTATCTCAAATACAGATATTTCACCTTTAACCAACAGAGGGGCAGATGCACTGGATATTTCACTTTCCCATACGTCCGATTTACTTCCCAATGGCATCTTTCTACTAAAAAAAGGTTGGAAAGGGGAAAATGGACTAAAATTAATCTTTAAGCACTCAGATATTTACTATCACCGATTTATTCGGAGACAGTTGTACTTAGTCATTAAAAAAGGGTCAAGTCTAGACTTGTTTTTACTGCATTCTGCTGAATTGCTACATACTTTGTATTAAGTTGCTGCAGTCGTCTGTCGAGGGCCTTATTGTCGCGAGTGAGCAGCGCCACCTGGCCGCGCAGCGCCGCGCCCTCGGCCTCCGCGGCCGCAGCGCGCGCCCGCAGCGCCTCGCACTCCGCGCTCCTCTCGCATTCTAACCTACAAATACAACGATTATATCTCACTTTATCTACTAGCTGTTTCTCAGGACTTCGCCCGCGTGAACTTAAAAATTAATAAAATAATGCGTGTTACTCGCAGATTACCTTTCTAACGGTGAAAGAATTTTATAAAAGGGACCCAGTAGTTTTTGACTTATTTCAATACATACAAAAATACAAATTCCTCTTTATAATATTAGTATAGATATAGATTATAAGTGTTTAGATGGATGTTTGTTAGCGTTTGTAGTTTACACAGCTGAAGGGATCTCGATGAAATTTGGCGAAAATGTGAAACTTAGTCTGAAAAAACACATAGGCTACTTACAATGATTTTTTTTTATTTCGCGCGGATAGAGTCGCGGGTAAACGCTAGTACATACATAATATGTTTCATTATGGCCTAATAATAATTAGTATGGGGAATAGACATATAAATAATCCCAAAGCTGTACAATTAAATAGCTTAAAAGAGACAAAACAAATATTTTCTAATACGTTTCCTTTTTACAATTTATTTTTGGAATTCTTTCCAAAAATAAATTGTAAAAAGGCACTTAGTACCAAATTAATTAATGTCAGCCGCCAAACTACTGTGCAGTTTGACGACTTGTCTTTTAAATGTATTTTTTGAATAGATAAATATGTTATTGTTACTTGGCGATGTTATCCTCGTAGTAGGCGCGCTGGCGGTCGAGCTGCTGCGTGAGGATGTAGGTGAACTCGAGCTGCACGGAGTCCAGCTTGGCGCCGCAGCCCGCCTCCTCGCCGCCCGCGCCCTCCGCGCCCTCCGCCGCCACCAGCTTGCCGTCCGGCTTGTTCTGCACCAGCCGGTGCACGAACTTGTCGCCTGCCACACACAACGTCAACATTATTTGTTCTAGCTTCTACTTTACAGTGGTAGAGCCCGCTTTAACATCTTCGTACGAATGAGCCGGCTCCAGCAATACCACGACCACACAGAAGACAGGTGTGAAGTGGAAACAATTCCGCGTTTCGTCTGATGAGTGTAGTGCCGGTGGCCTAATTTTATTCCCTTTCCCTTCCCACCCTTTTCTTAAGAGGATGGGAAGGAAAAGTGGATTAGACGGTAGAAGAGACGCACAGGAAGGGGAAATGTCTTTATATGGGTCTCCTCCTCCGTCAATTAAGGGGACGTAACGCATTTGCAATAGTGGATGTTTATGGGCAGCGGTTGCTTTCCATTTCGGTGGATTCAGGCCACTTGCTCGTTTGCCTTGCGACTCTGTCCGTGAATAAATGAGATACGTTCAGCAATTTAAGGTACAAACTCCAACAATGATTCATCCCATCTAAACGCATTTATAATATTAGTAACAAGTAAAATTATCAAATGAAAAAGTTCGATTTTTCATAACAACTAAATTCGATTGACATGTTTGAAGCATCGATTAATTAACTTTAATCGTTATCTTTACGTAGATCTACACTATGAAGCTAAAACAAAGATCAAATGTCACCTATTACGTATCCTACATAGAAAATTTAATAAAAAATTAGATTATTGCATAACAAACCTGCATAGTCCCAGACTCGGTTCGAACCCAATTGTAGGGCGTAAGTGTGATTGGAAGCTAGGAAGTGTTTTGCTGCGTGACCTCCTTCATACCTGTTCATGTAAACATTCTGATACATCTATGGCTGGTCTCCATTTAAAGTAGAAATTAAAAGTACAAAAAATATTTTAGCGAACAATTCAGTGTCTATAGAGCGAAATTTCGGGCTCATCATCATTTTTATCACCCTTGTCCATAAGGAGGGTCACAGATATGACAACGCAGGGCTTTTGTCATTGGCTAACAATTATCGTTACCATTGCAATCTTACTTCTTTACTACTATTGGTTTGAAGTTTTTATTCCTTTCCCGCATTAAAATTATTCAAAAATATGATGTGATTGCTTACTATCCACATGTTTAGAAGAAAATCAGTACAGCGCTGGAGTATTAGCACAACACTAGATTATTGTCTTATACATCCCGTCCCTATCTGACAGCTGTCAATGTCATTCAGACAATAGCGCGCCATTCTAACGGAATCAGCTCTGTATGTTTAAGTTAATACAATTAAAATAATAATAATAATAAAGATTCTTTCTTGAATAATCATTGTTTACAGGATCAATATCGCTTTGATTCCTTAACTAGAAAATCCTCTGCTTAAGGAGCCAATGCCTTCCCTTTCACGTACATTTAACAACGGAAAGAAGCCATATAAATTACAGAAGAAAAAAAAACTTTTTTTTTTTATAGCATAAGGTGGCAAACGAGCAAACGGCGCGCCGCCAAAATGGCGAAGCGACCGCTGCCCATAGACATCCGCAATTGCAGATGTGTTGCCTACCCTTATCCGACGGAGGAGGAGACGCACATAAAGAGCATGTTTCCCCTTTCTATGCATCTCCTCCACCGTCAAATCCACTTCCCCTTCCCAACCTCTCCTTATAAGAAAAGGGTGGTAAAGAGAAAGGGACTTCAATTAGGCCTCCCGCACCACACTCATCAGACGAAACACGGAATTGCTTCCATTTGACGGCTGTCTTCTGTGTGGTCGTGGTATTACTGGGGGCGTGCCCTACAGTGCTAAGATGTTAAAGCGGGCACTACCACTGTTAAGTTATTATTATTATTAACAAGTAACTATAAATTAAAAATATTTTAATAACTAGCTGTTCCCATGCGGCTTCATCCGCATGAAATTATGAAAATTGTTTACATTTGTCAAATTCTCAATAGCAAATGTCAAAATGACACGACATGACAAACCTTGACAGTCTTGCTTAATTGATGTTGGCAACAACTTATGGTCTCTTTCCCACATTAGGATTTTTATCTAAAATATTTATCTCCTAAGTTTAATGGCGTGAAAATATATAGCCTAAAGCGTGACGTAAGTGTAGGGCTTTTTATTAAAAAATAGAATTATTCAAAAATATGCTGTAATTGCTGACGTCTTAGTGAAACAAAGAAGTGTGTGTTTGCTTTATTATATTAGTGTAGAAAGTAATTTTACCTGCCACAGCCGACGTGTCCGCATATGAGGCAGATCCAAAGCGCGCCCGCGGTGACGCCATCGGGCAGCCCCTCCGCCAGCCCGTCCCGCGCCTCCTCGCCGTCCGCGCCCGTCTGGTCGCCGGGCGCCGCGCGCGCGCACTGCTCGCAGCGCGCCTCGCGGCCCTCCGGCGTCTGCGCGCAGCGGCACACCGGGCAGCGCGCGTCGCGCCACCGCACCAGGCACTCCGCGTGGAACGCGTGCGCGCACTGCACGCTCAGCACGCCCGCCACGCTCTCGTCCATACGCTCTATCATAACAATTTTTTTCAATATAAGGTGGCAAATGAGCAAGCGGCCTGAATCCATCGAAATGGAAAGCGACCGCTGCCCATAAACATCCGCAATTGCAGATGCGCTGCCTACCCTTCGTTGACAGAGGAGGAGACGAACATAAAGAGGACATTTCCTCTCCTATGCTTCTCCGTCAAATCCACTTTTCCTTCCCATCCTTTCCTCTTAAGAGTGGAAAGGAAAAGGGACTAAAATTAGGCCTCCAGCAATACACTCATCAGACTGTACACGGTATTGCTTTTACTTTACGACTGTTTTTCTGTGTGGTCATGGTATTACAAAGGGCGAGCCGGCCCTACACTGCGAAGATGTTAAAACCTACCCTACTATTGTTACTGAAAGCACTCAATTCATTAACGCGGTTACAATCTAACAAACTACAACATATTATTGGAATTTGGGAGTTTAAGTGGTAGCAAATTTAAATATCTTTTACATTTGTTAGTGAATTTGCAATTACCCAAGCAGACGGGACATGTTGGCAGCTCAGTGTGCGAGGGCGGCGGAGTGCCGTCTCTCGCCCACTCCACACGCGACACCCACGCCATGTGGCAGAGCGCGTGGGGCTCCAGGCTGCTGTACGGGACTCCATCGAACGCGGAGTGGAACTCACGTGCCGCAGCAGATGTACGGAATCTTAATACGACAATTTAGAACTTTCAATTCTATCTTGATAATCATAAATGCGAAAGTTAATATGGATGTTAAAGTTTGTAGCTTAAACCGCTGAATGGATCGCATAATAGCATAGTAGTCTGGAAGAATGCATACATACTTTTGTTTTTTTATAATTTCATATGGACGGAATCGTTGACATAATATATTTCTATCCAACGATACAAAACTGTTATCAAGAATTGCTAAAACCAACACACGACACAATAATACATTTATTTGTAACATATGGTTTAAAAGTAATTTTTATGTCTACTTTCTTTTCAACTACTATTTATTTTCCATTATTCTTGAGGGGGACAGCTGCCTTCTTCCAAACAACAACCACGAGTAAGGATTGTTATGAACTGTGTGAAATTTTTAAGACATGGGTAATTCTGGAAAGTGGGAGAGATAAAATGGATGTCCACATATAATTAAAAAAAAAAAACAAAAGTGTGTAGCCTATGTGTTTTTACAGACTATCCTATACATCTATACCAAATTTCATCGAAATCCATTCAGCCGCTCAGGCTACAAACTCGAACAAATATCCATCCATCCAAACTTTCGCATTTATAATATTAGTATGAAGTATGATTACGATTAGTGTAACATATTGTTAGGAATAAAATTAGTACCGTGCTATAGAATTGGCGCAACT